CAGTTCAGTCAGAGCACCCCGAAGAGAAGAGAAGAAAAAAGAAGGGAGGGAAGGTGTGACTGACGTTGTCCTGGTCGACTTCTCTGATCATGTTGTCGAGGCTGAGGTCGTCGGAGCCGAGGCCGAACTCCTCGCACGCGAGCTGCAGCTCGTCGGGGGTGATGTAGCCGCTGCCGTCCTTGTCGAAGTACTGGAACGCCGCGAACAGGTGGTCCTCCCGCTCCACCTTGTTCAGGTGCAGCGTCGCCGCGATGAACTCACCGTAGTCGATCGTCCCGCTCTTGTCCACGTCCGCCTGCATTCACCCCATTTCATTCTTCGTGTCAATGCCAACACACTTCTTTCACTGGATTCATCACACTCTTGTGAATTTGAGTGACAAACTTACGGCCTGCATGAGCGCGTAGATCTCCGACTCCTGGAGGTTGGCGCCCACCTTCTTGAGCCCCACCTTGAGCTCCTCGTACGTGATCTGCCCGCTGTTGTCCGAGTCGATCATCTTGAACATCTCCTTGAGGCCGGCGATCTCGTCCTCGGACAAGTTCTCCGCAATCACCTGGACAGACACTCACATACACACGCGTCAGGACAAGTCGATTTGGATGGTTTTGCATTCTTGGTCTCTTCCATGATAACATCCACCAAGCTCCAAATGGCAGGTGGTGCCGGCCACTTGGCTTGGTGGACGAGCACAAAGGCAAGATGACAATTCAGAGCGACAAGGCATGCGAAAGAAACAATCATTTCAAGCCGGGAAGTGAATGCTTCTTACCCTGAGAGCCATCTTTTTCAGCTTGTTCATGGCCGAGAACTGCTTCATACGGGATAGAACAGCAGAGTCCAGAGGCTTGTCAGGAGCCAGACCGCCAACCTGAACCCATGGATGCCCTGAGACAATGCGAAAATAGAAATCTTCAGACTTCAGCAACACAATTCACTAAAGAGTAAAGACCATTGAGAGAACTAGAATTTATTTAGTCATGTGATGAGAAATTTAATGACTCACGTAGAACTTCATGGGCAGTCAGTCTCTTCTTGGGGTCCCTGAGGAGCATTCTCCTCACGAGATCCTTGGCGCCTTCGGAGATGCTGGGCCATGGATCTGACTCGAAGTCGAGTTTCCCGTGTAGAACCTCTTCGAATATGCCCTGCTCGTTCTCTGATCGATGAAAAGAAACAAGGCTGTAATTAGATCAAAATGCCAAAAAATTGTAAAGTAATTGCGCATTGTGTCGAAGAAGTAAAGAAGTCAGAAAGTGAACACAATTCATACCTGCCCAAAATGGCGGCACGCCACACAACAGAATGTAGATGATCACACCGGCGCTCCAGACGTCTGCCTCGGGGCCATATTTCTTCTTCAGGACTTCCGGCGCGACATAGTAGGGGCTTCCGACAACGTCGGTGAATATTTGACCTGGGATAATTAAGATCCACATTAGCAGAGATTACAGTGGAGAATGTCTCAAATCTGATGAAAATTCAAAAAAAGATTCAGGCTGCAGTCTGATAAAGATGTGTAGCCAAGATGTTTATGGTTGCAGTTGAATGGCATAATTTCTCAGGAAAAAACATGTTGCTGAAAGCACAATGCATTGCAAAAATTCAGTATGCTGTCATGCTTTATGAAGCCCACAACATGGTCACATCAATCAGTCTGGATGGGATGTGAGCGTGTGACCAAATTATGGATCAAATCAAGGAACAGAAATACAGAACCATGGTAGCAAAATGACAAATCATACATATTTTCTTGCCCATCTAGATGCAGTGCAATGTATGATAAGTATTGTTTTCATGTTTATTTTTCTGAAAAATAAATACGAACATAGGCAAGTGTTTCCTTTTCTGAAAAAAAAAATGGAGATGAACTCTAGCTATGATTAGTAACAGAATGGTGGTTGCACCCACCAGATTGACCAAAAACTCACCAGGCCGGAAGAAGACGGAGAGACCAAAGTCGATGGTCTTGAGCGCGGCCTCCTCCGTCTGGTCGACGAAGAGGAAGTTCTCGGGCTTGAGGTCCCGGTGCATGACGCCCATGGAGTGGCACACCTCGACGACGCCGACGATGACCCTGGCGAGCTCGGCGGCCTTCCGCTCGGTGTAGTGTCCCTTCTGCACGATCCTGTCGAAGAGCTCGCCGCCGGCGCAGAGCTCCATGACGAGGTGCACGGCGACGGCGTCCTCGTAGGCGCCCCGGATGGAGATGACGTTGGGGTGGCCGGCCAGGTGGTACATTATCTGGATCTCCCGACGCACGTCCTCCACGTCGTCGTCGGTGACGAGTTTGCGCTTGAGGATGGACTTGCAGGCGTACTCCTTGCCGGAGCTCCGCTCGACGCAGAGGTAGGTGGTGCCGAACTGGCCCTGCCCGAGCCGCCGCCCCAGGCTGTACTTCTCCTTGACGCTCTCCGTCTTGCGCTTGAGCACGGAGCCGACGAGCAGGCCGGCGCTGGACACGCGCTTGACCGGGGGCACCTTGGGCCGGTGGTGCGGCGGCTTGGCCTCGCCGCCGGAGCCGGAGCCGGAGCTGCTGGACGAGTCCGTGGACGCCTTGGACTCCTGCTCCTTGGCGGGGGCGGGCTTGGGATGCACCGGCGGCTTGGCCTTGGGCTTGGGTTGCGCCGCCTCATCGGGCTTGGCGTTGGCGGCGCCGGAGGCGATCTTGACGGGCTCGGGCGCCTTGCTCACGATGTGGCCGGCCAGCGGCGCGTCCGGCGGCGGGGCCCGGTCCGCGACGCCTCCATTGGCGTCGGCGTTGGCGGCGGGCAGGGCTTCGCCGTCGGGGCGCCTGGTCCAGAGCACGGTGGAGACGGAGTGGAAGAAGCCGTTCTTGCCGATGCTGGGGCCGACGCAGGTGTTGCCCATCGTCGCCGCTGCCGATGGATGGATGGATGGAACGGCCGGACCAAGACGAAGACGGAATCGGCGAATCTTTATCGACCGGCGGGCGGGGGGGACAGGACAAGAGGCTGCGGCAGCTACCCCACCACCACTCCTACTCCTGGTCCTGGGATCCAAGGAAGGAAGGAGCAGCAAGCACGGGACGGGAGACTCGTGGTGCTCTGCGCCGCCCCGGGGTCGATCAGATCGCGGCCCGGAGGGATGTCGGCCACCCACCGAGGAAAGGAAAAGAAAGGATTTTTACCTCCCAACCGGGAAGAGATGGGCTGAACTGAAGGAAAGTGCTAGCAGAACCGATGAACCAACAAAGTCAACGCTTTCCATCCGGCAGGAGCTGGAGCTGCAGCGTGGAATGCCATGATCTGACGCTTCTTGGACGGGGGCTACGTATGCATCAAGAGGAAGAGGCAGAATTGTTGAATGAGCACATTGAATTGAAGGTGGTTGGTGGGCCTTGGAAAGAAGCAGTCAAAGGCGAATGCTTATGCAAGAAACCAAATTGCGCAAGCAAAGATGGTCAGGGACTGGTTCTAGGACCAAGAAACCGCACGCACGCCAATCAGCAAACAAAACAAAAAGTGTGGACGAAGAGATCGGACGGGCCCTCGGCGGTGATGATATACTGCTGTGAAGAGAGGAAGGGGACAAGGGAGACGGGGGAGGCCGGCCCCGCGAGGAGAGGAACCCAGCCGTGATATCTAAGACGAAGGAGAAGACTGGACAAAAAGTAATGCTAGCAGCAGCAGTACGTGACGGGAGGTAAGTGTGTGTGAACAAAAAAAAAACAAAGAAATCCAGCCACGGGCAGGGCAGGAGGTGGTTGCGGGCCTGCTAGTTAAGAAGAGGCAATGATTAGCGAGCTGCACCTACTTATCTGCGACCTCGACATGGCACCGCACAGCACGGGGGAAGGGAGAGGGGGAGAAGTGGGATGCGAGAAGAAGGTCGCATAGATATATATTCATATCTGCCGTGCCCTTTCGCTCTTCCCGGGCGGAGTGCCTAAACCGCAACGCGAGCTCGGAGAAAGAAAAGAAAGCGCGTTCGCCCGCGACCAGGTCGTGCCGCGCTCGCCGCTTGGCGCTGTCGACAAAGTCCAAAAGGGCGTCGCCGTCTCTACCACACAGGGAGGGAAGAAGAGCCACTGGCCGTTGGGCCTCCTTTTCCCGGCAGGTGGCCAGGCAACGTCCCTGTAACATCCCCTGTTTCTGACGGGGATCGCGACCGACGTGGCTCGGGCATGCTACGTGACTGTAATAATTCAACGTATGGATGCCGATTGCTGCCTTTTTCCCGGAGAACGGGTCAAGCAGATGGGAGAAAACCGGTCGCTTTCTCCGTGGGGATGGATAACACAGAATGGCGATCAAACGGAACAGCTCATAAGGACGGACGGGCACAGTAAACAAACACGGCACATTGCCGCGTTGACAGATGAAGGGAAGCATCCAGGAAGCACGCATGCTCTAGTGCTTCCAAAACAAGCCTGCTGGGTGCTGAGACAAGAATAATAAATAGTACAACGCCAGTGCATTTCCTCTCTACCAGACAAATATATCGGACGCAAATAAGAAAAAAAAAGGAAATGAACCAGACCAGACGGCAGGGAAAAGGAGACAAAATTACACTCTAAACTAGAGTTCTAAGCCAGTTGGGTGTGGAAACAAAAAAAGGAATAATACACCAGTCAGTACACTTTCTCTGCGAGACAACTATATCGGACCCGACGCAAATAAGAAACTCAGACAAAATTACACCTTCAGATACACACTCTTGTTTGTTCCATTTTACACCCCAAGAGCACAAGCATACTACTACAACACGTGCCAACCCACCAGGGCTTTCACCCTTTCGACTGACCCACCAAGCAAGCAAGAAAATATAATTGAGTGGCTACTCTACACTGACCTTGACTTGATATTCGCATGACAGCCTCCAGATAGATATATGTCCTGTCGGTGGGACAGCTTCGATGCTGGAACATGTGTATGGCCATACGAAATCATCGCCTCCGGAGTTCCCATCCACATGACCTTCCCGGACATTGCACCATCGAAAATAGCCACCATGTAATGCAAAATTGAACAGCGAGGCTACCTTTTCTTCTGTGTCCTCTTGGCCTTGATGATCCGCCTGTTGGACTTGTCGCCACCCATGCTGCCCAACGAGAAGTTCCCGCCCTGAAACTCTAAGCTACCACCAGTTGGGAATGCCGGGTTCTGCTGCACTGAGCCTTGTTGACCGCCAAACTGGAAAGCTCCGGCAGGCTGGGCAGCCGGAGCACCAAATACTGGAGTGGCCGGTGAACTAGCTGGCTGCCCAAATATAGGAGCGGCGGGTGAACTAGCTGGCTGCCCAAATAGCGAAGAACCAAACACTGGTGCAGACACTTGCGGGGGTGCTGCTTGGTTGGTGTCATCAGCCATGCTGTCTTCCATACTCATCTGGTCATTTCCAGGAGATCCCATTCCGAAGCCTGTGTTGGCATTTGTCATCCCAAATGCAGGCTGTGGTGTAGACAAATTCATGCTTGCGCTCGCCGAGGTAAACGAATAAACTGGAGGAGCTTGCGATGAGAAAGCTGGAGCTGACTGTGCTCCAAATGAAAAAGCACCCCCTGAAGATGCTGATTGTCCAAATGTAAACATGCTGGGAGAGGACGAAGCTGAACCAAAAGGGTTGCTGAGAGCAGCGGACGATGAAGCCGTGGAGCTACTGCTGAACATACTTGTACTAGCCGCTGCCAAGGACGAGGCAGTGGAAGAGCTAGGTGATGAAAATGCAAACCCACTTCCAGATCCAGAGAAGGCGGCAGCTCCAGATCCAAACGGTGAATTACCAAACACAGGCCCGGTAGAGGAAGTTGTCACGCCAAAAGACACAGTTCCAGGTCCAGATGAGGAAGGTGTCCCTCCAAAAGTCATAGTCCCAGATCCAGATGAGGAAGGCGTCGCTCCAAAAGATACAGTCCCAGGTCCAGATGACGAAACCCCTGCTCCAAACGAGAAGACACCAGTGCCAGATGAGGAAGCTCCTCCAATAGAAACACTCCCTGGACCTCCTGATGAGGCAGCCCCCGCTCCAAAAGACACGGTACCAGGACCAGATGAAGATGCCCCTGCTCCAAACAACAAGGTCCCAGGGGGAGAAGCTCCCGCTCCAAAAGAGACAGTGCCAGGTCCCGATGACGAAGCTGCCGCCACTCCACTAGCCACAATCGGGAACGAAGAGCTAAACTGTGTGGCTGAACTCTGAGGCGGCTGTGACATTGTGCCCTGTGGCTGTGGCGGCTTGCTACCAAAGATCGTGCTAGCAGGAGATGGTTGAGAGGTACTGCCACCAACAGTTGTGCTCAGACCAGTAGATTGAGATGGAGAACTGAACCCAAATATGCTGTTTCCTGAGCTCGAGAATGCAAACGCTGCCGTTGAAGCGGACTGGACACCAGATGTAGTAGATGGTGTAGAATTAGCTGGTGCAGTTCCAACACTAAAGGATGCAACAGGAGAAGACGAAAATGTTGCAGTGCTCGAGAAAGAAGAGGATGTGACTGGAGAACTCGAAAAGGTTGTGATATTTGATGAGAAAATGGACGAGGTATTCAGATTGGATGGTGCATTGCTGGCTGATTCTGGGGCTTTAGACTTGGATTCAGTTGTAGTACCCACGGTACCAAAGAGTGAAGTGCTAGCTGGCTTTGTCTCTGTGGATGTCGTCTCTGGTTTTGGTGTTGCTACCGTTGGACTGCTGGAGCCAAAATTGATAGTTGGAAATGCAGGAACTGAAGATGAAACAGGTGGACTGCTGCTGGATACAGAGAAGCCGGCAATGGTAGTTAATGGAGTGGTGCTGACAGCAGGTTTATCAGTGGGCGTGGTATTTGACAACTTCGGTGGTGATGTGTGCGACAAGCCATTGCTCAGGCCCGGTGAAGTAGATGCAGCAGAAGCAAAATGGAGAGGTGGAGTCAATGTTGGTGCAGCCGTAGGCAACTCCTTGTCAGATGACTTATGGATATCTCCAGCTCCTTCCCTTCCATTGCCCTTCTCCAAATTAGGTGTGTCCAATGATGCGGGCTTCGTGGCACTGGAAACACACAAGTAGCAGAATACGTTAGCAGATACTCCAAATAGTAGAATGCAACTGCCTATGAAAAATAAATGCCTAACAAATCCAAAACAAAATTTGAGTTATAAACAAAAGAAACAAGAATTTCTGATGGGTTGTCCTCCAATTTTTCAATCCATAGTGATTGAACATAACTAAGATGCCCTTATCTTTCAAACTATACCCTTTGCTATATGTTTCACAGTTGTAACTACAATGCTCACTCGTCTCACTATATGTTATTGGCCTCGGAAAACTCTGTTCCCAGAGAGTAGGGCAGTGATGAGATACTGATACATGAGATGTATACATGGACGACACTTAAAAACAATATTTTCCCATTGAGGGAATCAATATTGTAGTCAATATTTGCGCTTTACCCCTATTTAACTGATTTGGAAATTGCTGATTGGTAGTACTGTGACATTAGGTGTGTGTAGTCTCGTTCTTCTTAGAATTACTGCATCCTTGGTCTGCGCACATGGTAGGCTGAAGACTGATATAGAACAACACAAGCACTTTCACTACAATCCAAAAGTATACAACATGTCTGAACTTGGTGCACACCCTTCGACCCTTGCCATTAATTATCTTAATATTATTGCGACAAAATACGATATGAAAGAAGCTCCTCAAGTGAATAATTAATATGCATCTCTTATCCTAACAGATTTCTTTCTAGCCTACCTTTATGATATCCCTTCCAGGTAATACCAAAATCTTTCAAAAGATGGGTATGCAACCAAATAATTAAACATGGGTGCTTAAGGAAAAATGAGGAAAAAAGAGTTCCAAGAGAATCACCTCTCCCCAAGTCTTCCTTTGGTTTTTACACCAGCAGCTGTTGATGTTTCCAAATCTGATGTACTGGATGGCTTGGAACCAAACATAAAAGGTGAAGCACTGGTCTGTTTATCGTCTTTATTTGAAGCAAGTGGAACTGCTGAAACAGTACCCTCAGCACGGTCTGCAGGAGATACATGCTGAAACGTAAAACCAGTGTTGTTATTTGAGGAAACATTGGGGGTGCCCTTCTTTTCAGTATCACTGGATGAAAACAAGCCGGGTGTAGAGACATCTTTTGATGTGGATGTTCTAGGCTGTTCAGTAACTGAAGAATTGATAACATTCTGCTCCGATGAGGTTGATTCAACTTTCTGCTCAAATTTAACATGTTGAACTTTCCGCTCCTTCATCTTTGAATCAAACTTCTGCTCTGTTGCCTTCACATCTGTCTCAAATTTTGAATTCTTTGATGGGACAGGGGCTTCCAGATCATCGTCAAACTCAGTTAAATCCTGAAACGTACAAAACAAAAAAATGGTAAATATAACTTTCAGATCATAAGTGCTTATATGACTAATTTACACTGCATTAATATTTCTACCATACCTCAAAAACAGCCATTTTGAAACCTGGTTTCCTTGATGTAGTAGCAGAAACTGAATTCCCCGAAATGGCAGGCTTATTAAGAATAGCAACATGATCAGACTTCATGTCTCTGTTGCCTAAATCCTGATGAAACGTAATGGAATGAACTTTTGATGATCCATCTTTGATCAGCTTGTCTTTATTCAATGTAGAACCATTCAGATCAGAATCATGGGGAAGATTAACTCCATCCAAATCTTGAAATTGTCGGGAACTACTGGGGTCACTTACACCCTTTGGTCCATTGGACATGGATTGCCTTGGTTTCCCAGCAACAGATTGTTGCCCAGACTGTTTGCCTTTTGGTGATGGAGCTATTATGTTAAGCTGCTCAAATATCTTCTCAGCCATCTTGTTTGGTTGAGTTGGAACAGGAGGAACATCATCATTAGAAGGTTTGCCACCTTCACTATTTCTCTGTCTTTCTACAGTCCGCAGGGATTGGGCGGACTCAAGCAGTAATCTTTTTGAACTAGGAGGTTCCTGATGGGGTGAACTGCCTTCAGCAAAATCTGAACCAATTGTACGGGTAGGAAGAAAATTTCCCCGAGGACTAGCATGAGCATCTTTAAAAGGAGACATCATATTCGACTTCTGACGAATCCTGCGTATGGGGCCAACAGATCCAAGTTCATTGTCAAACTCTGTGCCTCTTCGTTTCAACACCTGTTAGGAAGACAGATGATTTAGAAAAGCTCTGGCAGATATAGTCCAGACAATGCAAAATCTGATGGAGAATGTTCCTCAATCCTCACTAATATTAAATTTATTATTTATATTGAGACTAAAATCTAAATGGGTCGTTGTCACAACGCCACTAGTGTCAATCAAACAGGATGACCTGTTACTTTCTGCCTCATTAATGTTGGGATATGCAACAGTTTGTCCATATATATATAAAGATGTTAAAAGGGTCGATTGGGTATCAACCATAAATACACACCATGTTTCAACTGCTTTTCAACAAACGGCATGTTTTTCAAGCTGAATATATAACATGAACAAGAATATACAGTGCAGTATGTGACTTATTTCAAATTCAGAAATCTTCCACAAATTACCTGCCTGCCGCCAGCAGCCAAACTTGGGGTTCGTGCATGAGATAATGAAAATGGTGAAACATTCATATCATTGGAAGAGCTTGGGCCCTGCTAGGCATAAATAGATATTTAGTAAAAACAACTATCACAGTTTTGCAGTTGAAAATCACTCAACTGAAGAGAGAAAATTCAAGCACCATACAAGGACAAGAGTATGCCACGTGGAGCAAAATATAAATGTAAAACTATGAGATGGAAAGAGAATGATGTGCAGCAGATAGAAGTATAAAGCTACCTTAAAAAATGGAGAGCGGGACATTTTACATATTGCTGACCGCCCACGTAATCCTGAAGCCATATAGCCATTCACAGGAAGTCCAGGGTTTTCATTGCTAACTTGATTCAGCTCCTGAACAAGTGGTGCACCAGAAGTCCTATAATAACCAGTGTTGCTTGATTCCGCTTTGTTACCAAAAAGTACTTGGCTCCTTAGACTACTCTGTTGGAGTTCTCTCGAATAACGGGAGCTCATATATTGTTTGGCAAGGTCCGCAGGGGACTTAACATCCCGGATAGGAACCTGCAAATTGAATATGAATTATAATTAAAACAGGCAACTGAAATCCTAACCAAGCTTAATAGAAGTACAGCTACATTTGCCTGCCTCTTCCTAACTTAAACACTGAATAACTTAGTTGCCAGGTGTATTGTATTAGACGGGCAAAACAAGGAAACCAAAAGGTAAAATCTATGCTACCCTGTTTGAATTGCAGGTAAAATCCATGAACTGTTCAACTGCACAATTGTGCACCTAATATTGTACAGGTGAACCAAAAGAGGTCCTAACAGACACAGAAACTTAGATCAATCTGAACAACTGAATCCACATCATATGTCAAATTGATGTATTACTTCAATGAAAGTTGCTAGATCACAGTGATAACTTTGCTACCATCTTACTTAACATATTCAAGTTTGATCGAGCAAAGTCAAGTGAGCATCATCACTAACCTGACCACAGGAATCACTGAGACAGCATACTAAACAAATACAGTATCTACTAACAACATACACTTCATGGAATTCGTCAAAAATGTTCACATGGTCCTTACCAGCACCTTAATACAAATTTATCCAACAACTAAAAGGAAATTACACAAACAAGGTAACTCCTTACATCAGCGGGCGGAGAATGGTCTATAGCCATCCCATGAGATGTGGAGCCTCCTATTCCATCAATTCTGGTTCTTGTTTCATTCTTATCCTCATGGTGGTCTACTTGTGCAGACAAAGCAGGCTCTACAGTTCTTGCACGCAGCAAGTCTGTGAGACGATCAAACTCAACCCTGAACAGAAGAATCCAATCGTCAAGAACAGGTACAAAAGCAGTGAGGGAAAAGAGATAATGTTGCAGAGGATATCAGGTAGTGACAATGTTCAGTCCAAAATAATGGAACGCGAAACAAAAAAATGAGAAATAACTTGGATTAATATATACTGTGTTCTGAAGCAAGTTGGACATCAAAAGGACATACATCATCCATTAATACTAGGGGATCAGAATTCACCATGGACAGCTAACAATTAACATATTTTGATACTTACCGAGAGAAAAAAAAAAGTAGTACTCCCTCTGTAAATCAATATAAGAGCGTTTACAGAGGGAGTAGAAAACTGGAAGTTCAAGAAGCACAAAATATGCATATTCTTTCCTGGTGAACGTTTTCCGCATTAACAGATGCTCTACTTCAGACAATGATTTGTCACCGGATGTACCAGCGAGGTCCTTCCCTTTCGCCATTCCACCCACTGGAGATAAACCCTGCGTAAAAATTTGAAACAGCCCTTGGTCAGAACAACAGGGGATGAGCTTAAACAGGTTGCACCATGATTGCTACTTACCGTATGTGTTGCCTCAGGCAAATCTTGATTAGGTTCAGCATCTTGGCCTGCATACATGAAACAGGTATCAGATTTGTAAGTGCAGCTCAATGATATAAGCTCGACAACAGTATGATGCAATTACAACTAGAGCTTCAGTTATCTAGCAAAAAGAACTGAAACATGAAGAACATCTCCTGTGTTGTATTCTAATTTCTACCCAATCAAACATATGGTTCCAATAGACCACACTCCCCTCCAATACAAAAATTGGCACAATTTAAGTGTAGCTTACAAACATCAACGTAACGCACAGGATAATAAAAGTTGTCCAGTATAACTAGTTTCAAGCACAGATCTAAGCCCATGTGTTATTCACTTATTCTTCAGAACGCACAGCCATGCACATGCCACATCCATATCGATACAAACTACAACTTTAAACATAATAAAGCAAAAGCAAGTAAAAAACTTTAGAGGGCTCCAGTTAACACCCTTTTTCCTCGTGAAATTGGCTCTTCGTGCCAGCAATAGCACTGGTCGGGTCAAAATCGCCGAAAACTGGAAGCAGGCGGTCAGCAATCTAAGCTAAACCCTAGCATGCCGGGAAGCAGACCGAAACCCTAGCCCAAGCCCGCAGCCACAACCAATCTCAGGAGCGCGCGCGAGCAAACACGAATCTCGGGAGGGGAAAGCGGGAAGGAGAGGAAGCTGTAGGCTCACCGGGAGGCGGGGAGGCGGGGGGCTGTGCGGCCGCGGCAGGGGCAGGGGCTGGCGCGGGGGGCGCGACGGCGAAGCGCTTGCGGAAGACCGAGGAGAAGAGCCGCGCGGCGCCGCCCGCGATGAGGCGCGAGGCCGGGTCGACGAGCCGGGACACCCAGCCGCCGCCCTCGCCGTCG